ATTTGAGAATGCTTCTGTAACTGATCATGTTTTGCAGAGATCTGTGGCTGGGGCTGGGCCTTTCCGCATCCCTCCTGCCCCCCATGCCAGGCTCCCCCACCACACCGTGCGGTGAACTCGGTGCTTAGAGATGCCCCCGGGAGCTGTGAGGCTGCAGCACACGTGGCCGGGAAGGGTTAACACCGTATGCATGCTGCACAGTTGGATATTTATTTTTCCAAGCATGCATCTGCTTTAAGCATTATAGTTTTTCCCTATAGTTACATTTGCAGTTGTGTTTGCTTTTTATTTCAGCAAATACTTGGTTCCTGACCCGAGGGCCAGGCTGGGGCAAGGAGCGCTGGGCGAGGGAAAGGCTTTTCTCTGCGTCACCCACGAATTTTGCCTTTGGCTGCCCTTCTTCCCCAAGGGCGCCCGCAGGGCTGCTTGTGTCGCTTCACCCACGAATTTTGCCTTTGGCGTGCCCTTCGTCCCCAAGGGCGCCCGCAGGGCTGCTTGTGTTGAGCCTTGGGGAAAAACTGAGTCTCTTTTCTGTATTTTGGAGCTGGAGGGGGAAATGTGTGCCAGGCAAGGGCTGCTGCTGGCAGTCATCACCTCTCTGTCCCAAGGGACATGTGGCCCCGAGCTGGGTGCAGCCCCCGCCGTGGGGCTCCTGAAGCCTTGCAGACCCAGGAGCTGAGCTCAGGCTCTTCTCCCAGCTGGGTCTGCCCTTCCCGGGTTGTTTTCCTGCCGCTGCGTTACACGCCGGTTGCTGGCACCGAGGCACCCGGCGCTCGCCCGCCTCCGGGACGCTCTGACGTGGTGGATGCTGCCGGGGCCAGCTCTGCTCCAACACGGAGGCCAAGCTGCCCCAGCCCAGGCCACCTCAGCCTCAACGAGGGTGGGAACCCAGAGCCTGCTCTGGGGGGTCGGTGGCACGGCATCCCGGGAAACCCTCCCCTGGGCTCCCACCCCTGGGTGCCCCAACCGGGCGCCCTACTCCGGCACCCGCTCCTGCTTTTGGCACCTGGGATGCATTCCTGGGGATGAGCCACGGGCCGGGAAGGGGCTTCCCCGCTCCACTCAGCTCAGAAACCTTCGGCACAGGGTGGAAGGTCCCGTGGTGAGCTGTGTCCCTGGGATGGCTCAGCCCCGTGACTCACGGCTGTGGGAGAGGAGAGAGGGGAAAGTGCAGCCCGCGGGGTCCCCGGGGACAGCAGGGGACACAGGTTGCACGAGGCTGCTTCTCCTGAGCCCGTGGGCACCCAAAGGTGTGAGAGCATCTTCCCGGGTGTGCGGGGAGCCGGTGCCCCGGGGAGGGTGCCCAGGTGGGCACAGGGGTGTCCGTCACCGCTCCGAAATAGCCCCGTGGGTGTAATGGCCGGCTGTAATTGCAGCCTGGGAGGCAGCTCTCCGAGGGGCACTTAGCCCTGGCTCCTCTCTGCTTCCATTTTTAGTTGTTGGAGTCCACCCCTCAGCAGTAAATTGCAGTGTGCTGGGGCCGTGGCAGCGGGGACGGTGCCTGGCGGGAGCCAGAGACCCCCCCCTGCCCGAGCTGCCTCGTCCTGGCAAACGGTTTCCTGTTGGGATTTCTATAAAAGCCATATAAACGCAGAGAAGAGCCATGTCCTTGTGTGCACAGGTAGGAGCACCCTCCCCGCTTCCTCGCCTCGTGCCAGGCGGGTGCAGGGGGGTCCCAGGGGGCAGGGACAGGTGCCGGGGGGTTCCCCGGGCTCCTTTTCCCTGGGGAAGACAGGAAAGGTCTGTGCTGCCCCATCCCTTCGGTATCCCCTGCTTCCCAGGGTGCTGCTGAGCCTGTCGGGGGGAGCAGGGAGGATGATAGGTCTGACCCCCCCGTGCAGGATGGGTTCCTGTCCCCCTCTGCCTTCTGGCCCTGCTGCCACCTCCCCGTCTGCCCCGGGGAGCCGAGCACGGGTCCTGCGTTCCCTCTGGATCCTGGCACACATCCCTGCCTCCTCCCCGTGACGCTCCCCGACGCGGGGCAGCTCCGTGCTGCGGGTGCTCCCCACGCCATGGAAATATGCTGCTGTCGAGCCCCTGAATCAGCTGGAAGGCGCCCGCCCCGAGGTGTATCTGGAGAAGGGCTTTGCTGTGTGCCGAGCCAGCACTGACTCATTTTTCAGGAACTGCCACTTCGGGAGGCTCTGCGCTCCCCTCCCTCCATCCCTCATCCCTCCCTCCATCCCTTCATCCCTCCCTCCCTTCATCCCTCCATCCCTCCCTCCCTCCCCTCGGCGCGGGGCCGGCTCGGGAGGCCCACGCAGACGCTCCGCATTAGGGCATGTTCCGGGGAGCATGTGCTGTCGATAAACAAAACCACTTAGAGACAGAAAATAATTTCCAGAAATACCGAAGCCTTTTTTTTTTTCTTTTTTTTTTTTTTTTTTCCCAGAAGAATCCCCCCCCCCCCTTCCAACC